AAGCTTCATATTTTGAGTGTAATAAATATACATGTAAAAATCGACTGAAGTCGTCGTAGAATGTAATGAAATATCTTTTACCTCCACGGATAAGTATTTCATTTAATTCACATATATCATTAATGAATCAACTCTAAAATTGATGTGTTCCTTTTAATTGAAAGAAAAGGTTTCTTTGTAAATTTTGATTTTATAAAAATTTCACATTTCCGAAAGTCTTTGTTATCAATTTTAATTAATCATTTATTTTGCATGTTTTCAATATTTTTTACATTTGTATGAGCTAAACGTTTATGCCATAAAGAAGTAAAACAAGCAAAATACTCCAAAGAATTATTTTTATTGATAGAACAGGGATTACATCGATAATTGAAACAAAAAAATTAAATACATTATCCGACACTGTTAACATGTTACTACCCACTGATTTATTAAGTCTGCCCCCTTGGCATTGGAATCATCATCACTCAAATTAGGCGATACATACCCAACTGGTAGTATCCCTTTCCAATGAAGTTCTTTCTCTTGTAAACCACGACCCTCCTTCCCTCAACGTTGACTCCAAACCCGTTTTCATCGAGTTTGCTCAAAGATACGAGGCACTTGTTAACGGAAGGGACGTGAAGTACATATCTTAGGGTGACAATTTTTCCATAAGTGAATTTAGTAGCACAATACCCATCCCAACGACATCCACTCTCCTATTGTTTCCCACAATCACTTGTTTTCCTCTCTGATTGCACCATAATCAACAAACTTAGATATGGAGTCACACACATAAATCGTGGCTCTAGAATCTAAGTACCAACTTCCTCTACCAGCCACAATTATGGTAGATGCCTCATATATCATGTCAATCTCTTCTACAAATAGGTTTTCCATGAGGTGTTGAATACCTTCAACTATATTTGCAGTTGATGGTTCGGACTTCCTTTGTTTGCATTCACGAGCATAGTGTCCCGCCTCCCTGCAGACATAATACTTACAACAGACTTGCCCCTCTTATTCCAATTATGAGCCTTTTCCTTGATTTGTAAATGTTTGAGCAAATCGTCCAAAGAATAATCTTCGGATTTATGCATCACGTGTTTTGAAAAATCCTTCCAAGACTGGGGCAATTTATCAGTGACTTCCCCTACTTGGAAGATTTTGGGAAGAGATATCAAAAGCATTTTAAATTTTTTTACCAACACCTGGAGCTTATGTACTTACTCTACTATTTGTTAGTCATCAACCATTTGGAATCTCAGGTATTAGATATTTATTTGTACCATCCTCTCGTGCCTTATACTTGAATTCCAAGGCTTTCCATAATTCTTTTGGATTAATAATCGGGGAGTACAAGTTAAACAACCAATAAGACATTTTTGATATGTCCGAGGCCAAGGTTTCTTCCTCCTTGCGGATAAGTCTTCGTTTCTCCATTTCGACTATTCTTGTGCTATCCGGTTCTTTTCCCGCTTCTGAACCGTATTTTTAGTGGGAGTCAAGTTTGGCTCTATAACATAGTAGAACTTTAGTACCATCAACATGAATTTCACTTTGTCAGCCAAACAGGTATAGTTGTTCCCGTTAAACAAGTTTCACCAGATCTTGATTCAAGATGTGTAAGTTTCTGGATTTCATTATAAAACCTTTAAGATTGTTGAAAAAATAATATTGAATAGATAAAAAACAATAAAGTTTAAATCTTTATAAATAAAGTTAAAGCTTTAATAATCAAAAGTGAATCAAAACAATAAAGTTCATAAATTTATTATTTAAAATGGCGATTTTATTATCCAGAATAGAAAAACTAAACCAATTATCACTACACTGATTGAATTTATCCTTCACGATAGATTCTTTAAAAGAAAGGGGTAGATGTAGACTAGTTCACTTAGACAGTATTTCGTACGCAGACTAGACTGGACATGACAGGACGGGACGAGACGGAACAGGACTAATTGTCTGTCCTATGTTTGGTACGACTAGGACAGGACATGACAGGACAAAAATGTTAAAATGATCATATTATCCCTAAATGTTGTTCAATGTTATTTTATATCATATAATGATCATAAAATGACAACAAATCAACCAAAATATATTTTAATTACATAGTTTTTATAATCAAGTTTAATACATTAAATATAAATCCAAAAAAATGACAAAAGGGTGTTGACGAGTCAACCCGACAATCGCACTTAAATATTACCCATTTTGACATGCTATTCAACCCACATTTTTTTAACATTCCAATACCACAAGTAAATAACATTTGTCATACCACAAATTCACTTGTAACATTTGTCACGACATTATCAAAAGTTTAATATAAATTAGAAAACTACTTCAAAGGTACATATATATATATATATATATATAATATAGAAATCAAGAACCCCAAATCAGGACAATAAAGTAAGAAAACCCTAGAATTGAGAGCGAAAGGAGATTGAAACACATAAATTAGAATGGAAATCAAGAAAAGATGAACTGGAATGAATCTTGAATACCTCGAAAGCAGTGTGGTGGATATGATCGATGAGGAGAGCTTGGAGATGAACGAGTCTTCGAGAGAAAAGTCGTGAGCTTGAAATTGCGAAGAAGGTGGGTTCTCTTTCTATGTTGATATTATGGATAAAATACAAAAAGTATACATAATTATTACTCCCGACATCTCCTTTCATAAAACACCATTTGAGAATCACTGGTTTTTGCAAGAAATCAAGTACGTGATGAAGGAGGCGATGTGGAAGAAATCAAGTACGTGATGAAGGAGGCTGCACAAATGATAATTAGGTTTTCTATTGGAAGAAATAACAAGGGTAATATAGTCAATTTATATTTAGTCCCATGTTGTTCCACCTTTTTTGGTGGAACAAAAACCATCAAGTTTTGTCCCATGAGATTTAAAAATAGTCTCATCTTATCCTATGTATTTTTTGTCCATGGCATGCCAAACATGTGACTAATTTTTTTGTCCCGTCCCGTCCCATGTAGTCTGCATACCAAACGCACCCTTAATGAACAAAAAATTAAAATGCAATAAAAGAAAACTAAAAACCAACTTGTTGATGATGATAGAAGGAAGAACTGCATGGTATAAACCTGGCCTTAAATGTTTTATAGGACCACCCTATAAAATTGTGAATCTTTTAGTCACAAAGCCCAAAGATTTGATGCAGTAACGTATTTCATCTAACCACAACTATGATAACGAAATCAGAAGCAAAGTTGATGTAGAAAAACATAGGAATAATACGATACTGTGGAGCAGAAAGCAGAAACAAGAGAAATCTAGCAGATTTTCAAGTGTTTAGAGAGGAGGTCTAATCCAATATTTATACAGGCTAAACCCCTAAAAATCATGGCTCGCTCCCTAAGATTAGGGATCATTAAAAACGTTTTTTAGTTTAAAGTTTAAATTTTGAAATTTAAAATCAAATAAAACCGAGATTAATCTGCTAAAATCCAAAAAATAAAAATGCAAAATGCGGCTCCTCGCGCCACTCTACGAATTTCGCAGTCAAGGCCTAGGCCGAGACCACGACCATGCCTGCGCATGGTCTTTAGACTTTCCACTCATGACCCCCACCATGAGCCTACCAACATGTTTTAAGCCCAATTGAGGATCATGCCTTATAAGTCTCTAAAGTTTTCTCTTCCTACCAATATGGGATGGGGGAAAACCTCCAACCTCATCAATATTTCCAACAATTAGAGCACAACATTAACTGCATGCAAGTCTTCGAAGTTCAGTTCAACTTAAATTTACATTATGTTGCTATATAATTGTAAGATATGTATAATGTTATTTTCCGAATCAAATACCATGGTCTAATAATCAAGCCATAACTATAACGGTCCTAAGGTAGCGAAATTCCTTGTCGGGTAAGTTTCGAGCCAGATCTGGTGTATCACAAGAGATTTGCCTTTAAAATACATTATCAACCTATAATAGTATTAAAAATTGGTGTGAGGATAAGCTACCTACTTTGACTAGGTTCTAAGCCCAATATGTTTTGTTTGGTTTTTATATAACAAGGGCATTATTTAATCTTTCTTCCCGGGGCGTCCAAACCCCAAGACCAACCCTGAGTTTCACTTATTATGGGACAAATTAAGATAGAAACGTGGATACTTTTTAGAAACAAAGAAAGTATATGGTAATTAACCAATGTGTGCCTTTTGTATTACTTATGAAAAATTAATCAGAGATCTAGGATAGGGGCGCTCACGGGTTGGGTTGATCGGGTTTAAGACATTTGATCAACTCAACCCAATGCTTGCGGTTTGAAAAATCTTAACCCAACCCAAACGAAAGTACAACCCAACCCAACCCAAACCGTACGGGTTGGTCGGGTTGATACTTTGGTACATTAAAATATTTTTCTAACCTTGAATATATTATATCTCTACTCATAATTTATTTTTCATCATCAACCATTTGATACAACTTATCCATATTTCTTACGTATATCACATTTAGTTAATTTTCTTAATTTACGTATATATGATTAAAATTACTGAACATATATACGAATGAGTTATATAGAGATGTGAATATATTGAAAAGATGTGTATATGAAGAGCGTACGTGATAGTGTAATTGTCTAATGCTTATATTAATAGAAATTCAACAATCATATTAAATCCAAGAAATAAAAGGATATCAGGTTCATCGGGTTGAGTTGGGTTCAAATAATAGTAACCCAATATCAACCCAATACCTACGGTTTGAAAATTTTACGACTCGATTAGACATCGGGTTGTTTCGGGTTGAGTTATTTCGCGTTGGGTTGAGTTCATCGGATTGGTCGGGTTTTTAAGCATCCCTACTCTAGGATATATGACATTTTATGTTAAAATTGTCTTCATGGTCCCAATTTTTTTGTGATCCTCATTTGATTACGTCTCCTCTCTCTCTCTCTCTCTTTCTCCTTCTCTCTCTCTCTCTCTATATATATATATATAATATTTTGTGTGTTTATCCCGGGTTGCCAAAGATTGTTTGTGGCCGAAGCAGAAAAAAGAAAATTAATGTGGCTGAAATAGAAATAAACCCAAAGTTCAGTGACTAAGCTGAAGGAATGATTGAATCTCGTAAAACATTTACAATTTGTGATTAACGGATTGTGGCTAAACGGCGTTGAACCATCTTCACGGCCGCCACCACCTCCATAGCAGCCAACACCCTCACTTCCATACGTCTTGATTTCCTCCTTTTGTTTTCGTTCTTGGACCCACGCAAGATCAGAGGTCAGTTTATCTCTATCTAATTCGCTCATTTCTTTCATTTGATTTATGAAAGTTACTCTTTCTACTTGTTATTACTGTAAGGTTTAGGGTTTAGGTAATTGGTTCGATTCCCACATGAAATTTCATTTATATTCCTTTTCATCTCTAATAGATGCACGTTGAAGAGCTTTTAGATAGTGTTGATTCTGATTTGTCTTAGCAATCGAGTGTAATTACAAGTTTACAGGCATACAGCTTCTCGAGGTATACGTTTAATCCTTGATCCATTTATTTGTTTTTATTGAGCTCTAGGAATTGTTCCTTATTTCATTGTGTACTGTTTGTTTATGGTGTAAATTGTCCAATCCGATTAAAAATCATCACAAAGAGACTTGATAACCAGTTGGATCTCTAATTTGCAACACCCCTACATCTTCTCCGCTTATTTTGTTATGTCTTAGGATGCTCTACCTTGTTCGGTGGATGTTATATTTGCATGGCTTGTAGTCCCTAGATCCATATGTAGGTTTTTTTTGGAAGTGTTTTAAAAAATGTATAATGGAACCAGGTGGTTGAGACCTGGCTATTAGACGCAAACAGTTAATCTAAATGTGTACGTTATAAGTATTTTAGATTATGTAAACACATGCAATTTTGATGCTATATTATTTTGATAAGACTACTTCTCTAAATGACCAGTTTCATTGTTTCATCTGTACAATTACTCAGAGGATTGGAGAGATTCCTTCCAAGTTGAGAAAAGCCAGATGTTTCCCATTCAGTTTATTGACATGCTTAATTCAACAATTAGTTGCTAATCGAAGTGATGGGGAATACTTAACTCCTAGGAAACCGATTAAGTGGCATAACTAACCCAAGGTCAAAGTGGTAGGAAGATGCATAATGCCACTGCCTAAACCAGGATTTTTAGAAGATTGATTTCTAGAACCTCAAATGCTGGTAACAGCAAACATTGATGAGATATAAGTGACCAAGGTGATAAGCCAAGCCTTTTTCAGGTGAAATGCATTGATGAGGTGCTCTTGCTGCCTTTCTCTCACCCTCCTCCTTACTGCTCACACAATTTTCAATTTAGGGTTTTGCATCATCAGTTTGCTTCCCCCGACCTCTATGGGTCTTTAACCCCACCCTCCTTTTACAAATTTTGGCAACTTCCACGTTCATAGATTTTCTGAAAATATCTGCCAACTGGTTTGCAATCATCGATTAAGGTTTATGTTTGATGTTAATGTTGGTGGCGATGTACAATTTATTTATGTTTTCTATTTGGTTTCTTCTCAAAGTAGAAAAATTGCCAAGAGTCGAATATTAATACCTTGCAGCTTTCGAGAGGCTGCAGTCTCTCCCTATTCAACTGCATTGAATTATAATGAATTGATATCTATTCACAAAAAGGTAAACAATGAAGGGTTTAAACTAATAAGTAAAAGACTCCTAGAATAAAACAAATCCTAAAGCAAAACAAAGAAGAAAAACATAATTATTTTTAGATAATTATCTAGAAACTTGTGGACTTATCCGGAACCTGTGTTTTAGCTTCTTATTTTGCCCTCTTTTCATACGTCTTTATACTCTGAAGTCTATCAATACCTTTATGCAATACTTGCATCTTGTCCTCAAGATGAAAAGAAGGAAATTGTATCTTCAACATTTCACAGTCTTCCCAAGAGGCTTCAAATACAGGTAAATTCTTCCATTTGGTCAATGCTTCTTGTCCTCCGTCTTGTGTTATCCACACTTGTAAGACATCTTCCGGTTGTACGATCATTTCCATATCGTCTTTCAGTTGATTCGGCAAAATGGTTGACGAGGCGCACTGTCCAATTGCTCTCCTCAATTGAGAGACATGAAAATCGGGATGGAGTTGTGTAGGTGTTGACAATTCTAAGCGATAAGCCACCTTTCCCACCATGCCTACCACTTTATAAGGTCCATAAAAGAGTGCAAACATCTTCTGATTGTTGCTTCTTCTTAAAGCTTTTTGTCCGTAGGGCCTAAGCTTCAAGAAAACCATATCTCTAATGTCTAAATTTACCTCCTTGCTATGCCCATTAACGTGTTGTTTCAGTTTGTGTTGTGCTTGCGTTAAGAACATTCGTAGCAGATCAATCTCATCGTCTCTGTCTTTCAGCATTTGTTCCATGGCTGGAACAACCATTAAGCCTTCCTTAAATCATTGGAGCATCTCTCCCATATAACACTTTAAATGGTGAACAGTGAATGAAGCTATGGTATGTGGTACTGTACCAATATCCAACCCATGACAACCATCTCTTCCACAGTCGTGGCTTGTCTGATGTAGAACACCTTAAGTACTGCTCAATGCTTCGATTGGCTACTTCTGCCTGTCCATCAGATTATAGATGATATGCAGTGGTAAACTTTAACTTTGTATCTTGTAATTGGAAATCTCTCCAAGAACTGCTAAGGAAAACCTTATCCCTATCCATGGTCACCAAGCTTGGAATGCCATCCAGTTTGACAATCTTTTGTATAAAAACTTTAGCTACTGTTGTCGAAAATGGAAAATGCATGTTCTAACGGAATGAGGTGAGCATATTCGCTTAATCGATCGACTACCATCATAATAGTATCCATGTCCTCCGATTTTGGTAGTCCTATAAAATCCGTGGTTAATTCCTCCCATACCATTAGCGGTAGTGGAATTGGTTGCAACCAGCCACCACCAGGGGTTCTACCTAGGTTTTTATTTCTTTGACAAATCTCACACTTCTTGACCAATTCCCTTATATCTCCCTTCATGCCTACCCAAAACAATTCATGGACTACTCTTTGATATGTTCTCTCCTCGCCAGAATGTGTCCTCATTGGTGACACATGAAATTCCTCCAAAATGATAGGGATCGGTTGTGATGACTTCGAGATCACCAACTGATCCTTGTACCCAGATAAACCTTGCCTTACTTCAAATCCTTTGTGCATCCCTTCTTGAGATTGTAGTTGGGACATCATCCGGCTTAAAAATGAATCATTGGTTATTTCCTCTTTGATCGTCGCCCACTGTCTCCATTGAGGTCCCCTCATCATAGAACACTCTGTCTCTCCTTGATAGTGCATCCGCTGCTTGGTTCGCCTTTCCTGCCTTGTAAATGTTTCAAACTTGTACCCCAAAAGCTTGGTTTATCACTTTTGGTATCTTTGCTCCAAAACGTTAAGCTTTATGGGTCTATCCTCACGATGAACTTCCTTCCGATCAAGTAAGGCTGCCACTTTGTTACTGCAAATATGATGGCCATGAGTTCCTTCTCTTATATGTGTATCTATTGAGCAATTTGACCCAAGACTTGGCTGTGGTATGTGATCGATCGGCTGTCAAACCGTGAATTAATGCGTCTCTAACGCCCTGCCCCAATATGTTTGTTTCATTTTCAAATGGTTGACTAAAATCTGGTAGCTTTAAAACTGGGGTTGTAGTCAAAGCCTTTAATTTTTCGAAGGCTACACCTGCCTTTTGCCACATGAACCCTTGTTTCTTTAACAAATCAGTTAAAGGCCTTGCTATCTGCCCATATCCCTTAATGAATATTTTGTAGTAACCAGTTAAACCTAAAAATCCCCTTAGATGTGTTTCTGTTTCCGATGTTGGCCATTTGCGCATTGCTTCAACTTTTGTCATATCCAAAGACACCCCCTTTTTTGAGACCACGTGCCTAGTTCCACTATTACTTATTGGACGAACTCACTTCTTGTTCACATACCTCCCTTAAGTACTTTACATGATCATTTTCGTCCCTACTCTATACAAAAATATTGTCAAAAGATATCAGCACTAATTTTCTTAAAGAAGGTCGAAATATATCGTTTAACTTCACGTTCTTATGGTTCTCCGTCTTCCGACGTTCCTTCCGGCAGTCAGAGGGATCGGGGGTACCGTTCCCTTACTCGAACGGAATGGGAAGAGCGCCGCAAAAAGGGGTTATGTTTTCAATGTGGTTAGCAATTTGGTCCAGCTCATAAGTGTCCCGAAGGGAAGCTATGGGTATTATTGTTGCGCGATGATGAAAATGATCTGGTTACGGGTGACCTTTGTTACTTAGAGAATTCCGACAGCCAACCCAGTTCAGAGGAGGAGCAGACCCCGTCGGGAATGTGTGCTGCTTTGGAGTATTTTGGGGTTTCCACTGAGGTCCATGGGGCAAGATGATGAAGTTAGAAGGGGCGATTCGAGACATTCTGGCTATCATCTTAGTCGACAGTGGAGCAACTCATAACTTCATCTCTCGACATTTGGTAACATTTTTAGCTCTACCTTTTACTTGTTGTTCGGGAATTAGTATCAAATTGGGGGATGGCCATAAGGCACTTGTTGATAAACAATGTCTTAATCTCCAAGTGTTGGTGGGAAATTATGAATTTAATGTGGATGTTTTGATTTTAGATGCTGGGGAATTGGATTTGGTTTTGGGTATGGCTTGGCTTCAAACATTGGGAGAAGTGGTCCACAATTGGGAGAATTCTTGGATGAAGTTCAATTTTAATGGGGTCTCAGTTTTTCCTTCAAGGTATGCGAGTAACTCAGGGTCCTTTGATTTTCTGCAACAATGGTTGATTATTTTTGAAGGTTCAGAAGCTGCCACTTATTCTTTACCGAAAATGACGTTGGGTTTGGGAATGATTTAACCACGACACAAGGGAGGGCCTTGCAACTGCTATTAAGCCAATTCTCGGAGGCTTTTCAGGCTCCTTCGAGTCTTCCTCCAGCAAGAATGCATGACCATGTTATTACTCTCCATTCCTCTCATGACCTAATTTGTGTTCGCCCATCTCGGTACCCTCATGTGCAAAAAACAGAGATTGAACGACAGGTGCAAGAACTTCTTTATCTTAGCATGATACGACCTAGTAAAAGCGCTTTTTTGAGCCCAATCATTTTAGTTCGGAAGAAAGATCAAATGTGGAGGATGTGTGTGGATTATAGGGCTTTTAACAAGGCTACAGTGGCGGATAAATTTCCGATTCCCATGGTTAATGAACTCATTGATGAAATTACATGGGGCTCGATTCTTATCTAAACTCGATTTGAAATCGGGGTATCACCAAATCCGTATGCATCCGGATAGTATTGAGAAGACGGCATTCCGTACTCATGACGGTCATTACGAGTACCTCGTGATGCCTTTTGGACTCACGAATGCTCCTGCTACTTTTCAGGCCATAATGAACGAAATTTTTCGCACTTGGTTACGTAAAATGGTGGTGGTTTTCTTTGACGACATTCTGAT